TTGGTTGTTGCTTCGAGTCAGGAATAGCATTCCTGGAAGTTGAGGGCTTTGGGGTGTCGTCGCACCTAGAAGACTTTTCAGCAGCGGAGCTAGACGATGATTTTCCAACGCATAGTACCATCTTAGGCCTGCCATATCCTGAAACAGTGTGCTGAACAGGTCTGCAAGACTTTGCGGTCTCTTGAAGTAAACCAGATCCAGGCTTTGTTTCCAGACTATCTTTTTGTGCTTCTGAAAACATCAATTCTTTTTTTAATTCAATAGTTCTGTCTCTATTGCCACTACTTGTTCTTTCTAGTACCATATCCACGGTCTGCGGTTTGTGATCATCAGGAAGTGAACTGCTCGGTGTCATTCTGTTAAATTCAGAAGCTCCAGAGGTTTGGGATGCAGAGGCCACTGCAACTTTATAATCAGTAGGGTCCAGAGCAACAGCTTTACCAGCATCAGTATCAGCCATTTCTTTTTGGAATTTGTTCTTCCTATAACCTATATTTCCACTGTCATCATCACAATTTTTCTCTTCAACTTCTTGTGTTATACCAACTGTGGAACCAGGAGAAGGCTTCTGAAAACTTTCAGGAGAATCAACTGCATTATCTTCTGGAGCATCAGTTATTGTGCCATGTCTCTGTAAAATAAGTAAATCAACCCGTCACTAGTACTTCCCCACAGTTATCTTAAACAAGAGTAAAATCGTTTCAATAAAAGATCAAAAAGAAACTTTACCAAACCAAATTTGTCCTATGTCAATTCAATCACTTGTTACAGTCTACAAGAAATTATAACCTTTTTATTGGATAAATTCAAGGCACTTCTTGCTACTAATGGTTCTCTTTAACACACAGTATTCATTCAATAACTCATTTCAACTCCATTTTAGGCACGGTCTAGGAGGGCATGTATAGTTAAGCGACCAAATGGCTTTGAACTAGACCACCTTGATAGCAATTAATTGAAAGAACTTCAATATACGTGGCCATATAAACCCCTAGGATATAATGTTTATTGATCTAATTAAGGGTTATCCAGAGGTACGTTTCATATTTCTATACGTCTAAGCCAATCTAAGACATACCTTATTAGCCTCATTGTGTGGAATATCTTTTCCTTCTAGGACCGAAGGATCAGTAGTTGCAGAGCTCTTTAGCACAATTCGGAAGTGATGACCAGCTTTCGCTTCCGTTTTTCCAGCACCATTAGCATGAACGTCAGAAAGATTCTGTCCTCTTGAGCATTCAACACCAATTGCTATATTACCAGATTCATCACCGCCAGTTTTCGGAGCAAGGCCACCATCAATAGATTCTTCAAAAGCAGCTTTCTTGGACTTCTCACTCTTTATGATCCCGACGTCGCTAGTAAAACCTTCTGGTTCTATGTCCTTACGAGATTCTGATGGTTTAGGATCACTCGTAGGTCGAATTGCTAGCAATTTGAAAGAAAGAAAAAGAGTTTTTTTTTTAAGAACATAAAAATATAAGATTCTAGATGTGAGGCTCATAACAGAAAATTATGTAGCTTTGTAAGGGCCAAAAAGTGGTTTTCACTGACCTGTTTTACCGCCAAAACCTTTCTTAATATCCTCTGCAACTTCTACCTTTTTCTTCATCCGCTCTTTTGAGGCTCCAAACAGTTCTTTTCTCCGTTTATTCGTAATCAAAGGACGAAGCAAACTCTTATCCTTCTTGAAGACATTCCGAGAATGTTTCATCTCCGCTTCGCCATAGTCCCAACTTTTGGCATCTTTCGCATCACCAAGCTTTGAGCCATAGGATCTCTTATCATCAAGGCTCCTCATTGCAATCAAAGCACTAGCAGGAGCAGCAATCACACTTTCCTTCGACATAGAAAACAGAACTCCTGCACCGTTTTCCTCCTGCTGCCCGTTTTCAATTTCATCTTTTTCTTGCTCATCCCAGCACGGAAACTCTCTATACTTGAAATTAAACTTTTTGGGCACATAACCTGTACACTTCCAAAGCTCCCGGGAGAAAACCGACGACAATCCTTTAAAGAGATCCGGATCACCGCCCGGGATTCCTTGTACATGAACTTTTTCTTCGGTCGGGATCTCAGTCCATAACCTAAACGGACGCTTAAGGGGTACATTCCGAGTACATGAATTCTCCATCCTCAACGTCTTAGTAGGCAATTCAACCAATAACTGAGCAACCTCAGTCTCCTCACTATTATGAACATTGTTCTTGCTCTTACACTTGTCACAAGTGAAAAGCTCCTCTCCTTTAACGTAACGAGAACACCGCGTATGAACCCAAACACCACAATCGTCACAATTCACCATCTCTTCCCCATCATCGAAATTCACACCACAAACACAATCAACAGTCCACGATCCATCAACCCAATCCTCATGAGGGTCAGTGCTCGAGAACCGATACGACCTTCCTTTCATCTCGTAAACTCTAATCTAACCCCCAAACCCTAAATCCCAATTCTCTAATTCTTATGCCTAACTACACAGAACAAGAAGCTACGAAAGAAAAAAAAAACCTTTTTTTTTGTTTTATTCTAATCTCTATGAACGGATTCGTCTAATCTAAAAAAGCCCTAGTGATCAAAGAAGCATAATTCTCAAATCCACGACATAAGAGCGAGAGCAGTATCACCTGATGAGAATAGTCTTGAGATTCTGACAAAAACCCAGAATTGACATGAATCTCTGGTTTCAGCATCTGATTGCGGCGGTAATAGCGAAGCTGAAGAGTGAAGCTACGAATTCTCCGGTTCCAAAATCCAAAAGGAGGTAG